GTCCACATAGCCAGACAATCCTGCTGTTAGGGTGCCAATGCCTGAGATGAAGGGGCGTCCAGGATTTCCAGGTTTATGGATCTTGGGTAGCAGATAGAATACCCCTGGTCGGGGTTGTAGGCATGTGTCTGCACAGATCTGTTCCTGTGCTTTTTCAGGGAGTTTCTTGAGCAGATGGTGTAGTTTCTTTTGGTAATCCTCAGTGGGATCAGAGGATAATGGCCTGTAGAATGTGGAGTTAGAGAGCTGCCGAGCAGCCTCTTGTTCATATTCCAACTTATTCATGATGACGACAGCACCTCCTTTGTCAGCCTTTTTGATTATCATGTCAGAGTTGTTCCTGAGGCTGTTGATGGCCTTGTGTTCAGCACGGCTGAGGTTATGGGGCAAGTGATTCTATGTCCCCATGTTAAGTATCCTCACACCTTCTTGTCAACTGTCTAAATGGGCCATCTTGATTATCGCTAAAAAAGTTTTTTTCTCTTGCTGATAATAGCTCATCTTAATTAATTAGCCTCTTACAGTTTGCATAGCAACTTCCACCTTCTCTGTATGTGTATATATATCTTCTTACTATATGTTTCATTCTATGCATTCAATGAAGTGAGCTGTAGCCCATAAAAGCTTACGCTCTAATAAATTTGTTAGTCTCTAAGGTGCCACAAGTACTCCTGTTCTTTTTGCAGATACAGATTTACACGGCTGCTACTCTGTAATCTAGCCTTGGAGATGATGATTTCCACATCCTCCTTTGGCTGCCTTATTCAATGGCCTAAATTGTTCCTCTGCAGATTTTCCTAACATTTACTGTAAAATGTCCCTGTTGTAGTTTAAGTCCTTCAAGAATATAAATCAAGGGAGATTTAGGGGAATCAGTCACAAAATATGGCAACATAAGAGAAACTGTCCATATATTTAAAGATCCACGTATCAGTCTTAGGCCATGTCTACACTTACAGGCTAACAGTAGCACAGGTGAACTGGAAGAGCTGCACCGCTGTAAGAGCACTCGTGGATCCCATTATGCCGACGGGAGAGAGCACTCCCATTGGCATCATAAAGCCAGCTCAGCGAGCGTTGGTAGCTCTGTCGGCGGGCAGGCGTCTCACACCGACATAGTGCTGTACACATGAGCGCTTATGCTGGCAAAATTTATGTCACTGCAGGACGTGGGTTTTTCACACCCCGGAGCGACAAAAGGTTTGCTGACATAAGTGCTAGTGTAGACATGGCCTCAGTCTCAGGCGGGAGGGCATTAAGTATGAAAACTATGGCCTGCGGCCAATTTGCAAAGGAACTTAGTCACTGAATTGCCTCTTTAGACATCTTAGTTCAGCATTTAGGTGCCACTGGCATTCACAAAACCACCATGCAGCTGCTGATGAACCCTGAAGGGGCCTAAATCCCCGCAGGTGCCTACGTTTCTGCTGAGGGCCATGCACCAAGCTGCCTAAGTCCTGATCCATCCCACAGCCACCACACTGCTTGGCACCTGAGCTCATGCCTAAACCCTGAAGGGATTTTCAAGCGAGGCATTCCCTTGTCTATCTCACCTGCAAGGTGTGATCCCGGACATATTCCCAGAGCATACCCTCCCCACCCGTATGGCACCACCCTAAGCACCAGAGGCCACCTCACGTTCTCTGGCCTAATGAATATTTCACACACACACACACACACACACACACACACGCAAAATAGCCAGTCTCCTGGAGGTTCGGGCACTTCCTTGCAGTGTGGGAGATGTGGGTTCACGCCCCTGCTCCAAATCAGGCAGAACAGGGATTTGCGAACAGATCTCCTGCCTCCCCAGGGGGTATTCTAACCACTGGGTTCATGTTTGTAATGAGGAGGGGGGTCTCTCTGTGGAGTTTTTCCAAGAAAGGACTGAGCTGGCTTAGGTGCCTAACTCCAAGAAGAGGATTCTGGTGGAGGTGGGCACTTTCTTTGGCCTGTCAGTCAGGGACCTGAGGGCTAGATCAATGTGATTTGGGTGCTTATGTAGCTTTGAGGATCTGGGCACTTGCTCCTTTCCTCTGCTCCTGGCTAGCTTAGGTAACTTACTGCTCAGCTTCTGGGAATCCCTTTCTTAGGAAAAGTGCCCAGGCTCCTAACTCGGGGATCTGAATACCAAGGGGCAGTAGGGTGCCTAGGAGTTAGACGTTGAAATGCTCTGTCCCCTTTGGGAATCTAGCCATTTTTTCTTAAGGAAGGGCAGTGGGCCAAGAGCCAGCAGTAAGCTGTATGTCCTTGAGCAAGTCAAGCCAGCTCTTCTTTCCTGTCCCACCGTTGGCTGTCTTGTCCATTTAGCCTGCAAGCTCCTTGGGGCAGAGGCCGTCTCTCTCTCTCTCCCTGTGTTTGTACAGTACCTCGCACAAGCAGGCCCTGATTTTGATTGTGGCCTCTGGGCGTTGCCGTAATTCAAATAAATAATATATAAGACACTGTAATCAATTCTGTCTCAACTTCCCAGAATCCAGGAAGGGACTTCAGCTTTTTTTCCATTAAGGAAAACAAGGATAAACAAAACAAGGAAGGAAATTAGTCAAATCGAAAGCCTAAGACTTCTCTTCTGAAGCATGAGAAATAATCGACCAATGTGGGTTTATTTTCCCTAATGCTCTTTAAGATGCAATTTAATTAGTAATTTATCTTGGACTATCTAGGTGCTGAGTATTCTGGAGGTCTAGCACAGGTTTTATGAGGTAGTATAAAAATTGAGTAATTCCCATGGGTGGATTCACTGCTATGAAGAAGACCAGCAAAGGTCTTTGCATATAACTTTAAATCTCACTCAAGCCCTCAGAAGACAGTTCAAGTGATCAGTAGGTCTTGTTTTGTCCCTCTGTGCATGGGTCAATTTTTTCCAAAGTGCGTAAAAAGGACTCAGAGAGGCTGAGGCCTAGGAAGGAGCATTGCTGGGAGTCTGTTCTAGGTGAATACAGCAATCCAGTTCAGGCTCTTTTCCAGGGAGTCACAGGCTTCCATTGAAGTTAGAGGGAGCTTTTCCACTGCTGATAACAGGAGCAGAGTGAGGCCCATATAAATTAGAAATGGAGAAGAACTTTTAGGTCATCTCAGTCCATCTCCACTGGGGGAGGCGATTCCTGTTTGTTCCTTACAGTATATTTTCTAGTGCTAGTTTACATCTCATTTAAGAGATGGTGCTTCTGCCGTTGCTTTAGTGAGCCATGCTGCAGCCTAATAAATCTCACTGGGCCAAATTCTGCCAACTTTACTCATGTTGAGCAGCACCTGATTCCAGGACTAGTCCCGCTGACTTCAGTAGACTATTTGCAGTGTAAAGCTGGTGGAATCTAGCCTCTGGGCGGCTATCTGCCACTGGCCCTCCACCAGTGTGATGCTAAGGGTGGATTATAGGTTGGATATTGAATTGGAAGAGGGAAGAACATGAAGAAGGAGACGCAAAATAAAAGAATATTAAACCAAACATCACTTGTTATTAAAACTCCTTTTATATTTTGGAAGGAAGCATGGTTTTGTGCTTAAGACATAGAAATGGAACTTGAAAGCTCTGGGTTAAATTCCTGGCTAAACCTCAGACTCCTTCTGTGACCCAGTACAAGTTACTTAGCCTCTCTATGCCTCAGTTTCCCATCTGCAAAATGGGGATGGTAATATTTCCTTTGTCCCACCCTGTGCCTGTTTAGATTGTAGGCTCTTTGGGGCAGGAAGTGTCTTTTACTATATGTATGTGCAGCAAAATGGGGTCTCAATCTCTTCCAGAGCCTATCGATGATAGTGAAATACAAATAAATAATAATAATTTAGCTTGTGGTTGTTTGCTAGAAAGAACAGAAAATGGGTGTCTGGGTACCTTATATCCATAGCACCTTGTATTTATTAGACATAAATTGGCACACAAGAATATGGTACAATGAGTTAGGTAGGGATATTTTTTTCTTAGCAACATAGATGTGCTCACATTTCTATAGACACTCCCACATACACACCAACACTCACACACATTCACCCACATCCTCATTCCCCTTCACAATTACATATACCCAATTCTCTTAATTAGGGTCACTTTTAATTAATATATATAGAGAGAAAACAGTTTGGGGGAGAAAAAAGAAAAGAAACCATACTTGAATTAGAGTATCAATAAAATAAAAAACTCTCAACCAGCTGCTTTGCTGGTTTTATTACCTGTTTTTACTTATTAGAACTCCTGTTTATAAATAAATAGTACCAGTAAAATATTACATCTGAAGAACCCTGCAATAGAAGTTTTATTTATACACATTTTCTGCTTCCCCGCCATCCCACTGTTTGCTGCACTTTTAAAACATGTTTTGTTCAGTGTCTCATTTAACATATGTGAAAGTGTTCTTTTTTCTTTTCTTCCTTTAATAGAGGAAGAAAAATAAAGACTGAAAAGAAAGAGATGATTTTACACATTTACATTTTCACCATTCTTTAAGAATGCAGGCTTTCTAAATTTCTTTTGCTGTCTGCGACTCCTTGCTTGGCTCAAGGCCTTGTTTTCTTGTTGCTGTTAAGAGTTCTCCTGAAGACCAACCTGGTTTTCAAATTTTAAGGTATCCCAGGACATAGGGATTAAATAAGAGACAGTCAGTTGAAGAGGAGGAAAGAGAGATGTGAAAGGAAGAAGAAGGAGAGAAATACAGAGCCCAGCTTGGCAAGGAAATTATTTTACTAGACTGCTTCTTTTGGAGACAAATTTCAGGCATGTCGCATTTATATTGGAACATAGCACAATGCAGTGAGTAATTGCAATCATGAAACAACACATGGCAGAGGTAGATACCTATTTTTTCTGATTTGTGGGGGTATCATTTGTTTTTGTTTAAAAAAAAATAACACACACTGAAATCCACCCTTTTTAGGCCTCTTTAAAAAGGGGCAGTGTCTTTTTGAGATAATTGCAAGAATATATATATATATATATTATTATTATTTATTATATAACAATGTCAACATCAAAAAAAAAAAGTAACATCCTAGTTGTTTTCGTCCAAGCACTCTGATTGTGTTAAAGGCAGCAGGAGTTGTGTGTTCACTTGAAAACCAGAAGAACGGAAGGAATGAGGGCACAACTTTTGTGCAGAAATAACACAAAAGTTGTGCGAGTGTGTCTGGGGAAGGGAATGGCGGGGGGGGGGAGTGTGCTGTTTTGTCGATTTTCTTTTGGAACAAAATAATAGAAAAAAGTCACAATGAATTACTATTTAATCTGTGGTTTCAAACAGCTGATCGGATCAGTGTCCATCTCTTGAGTGCTAACTGTGAACATTCAGTTAAAGGAGTCTTGCAAAATATTCTTGTTTGCTTGTTTGTTTTCAATTTTTCATGGCTAGATTTCTTGCATTTCCCTTATTGCCTTGTTAGCTGTTCTCACTCCACTCTGGCACCATGCCCACCCCATGAACAGAGTGGTACTGGTGAGGTGAAAGGGTTCTGGGCACCCCATGGGAATAAAGGAATTCTGCTGGCTGTATGCTGGGAGGAGACTGGATGCCCGTTTGAGGTCCACACTGCCGGATGATGGGCTGGTGAGAGACAGATGTTTGGTGCTGGAACATGCTGTGTGTGTCCCCTATTTGTGGTGATGTGTGATTGGCCACACCAGTGAGACGGGGCATAAGAGGACCAGAGGTGAAATGGGCAGAGAAATGCTGGTAGGGTAATCTGTCCATAGGCTGCATTGCAGTCACTGTGCAACTGCTGTAAGACGGCACAGTAGGCCACGTATTACAGCTAATGTCTTCCAGGCTGGGCACGGGGTCCGTGGTGGGAGCAGAGCTGGCATACATACAAGCTTGGCGCTGGGCAGATTCAGTCCTGTATGAGGTATTCAGTCCTTGCTGCTGGGAGTAACTGGACCTGTAGAAGGGATCCTCATCTGCCGGTGAGGTTTCCATGTAGGGTTTCTTGTACGGATGCTCAGTGGTGGAACATTCCTCATCTGCTGAGAAATAAAATGCTTAGTTATAAATAAGAACACATTGCCCTGTGTTGAGCCTCCCATCCTAGGATCTTAAAGTGTTTTGCAAGGATGGGTCAGTATCATCATTATCCCCATTTTTTCAGAGGAGAAACTGAGGCACAGCAAGGTGACTTGCCCACGGTTACACACAGCTGGGTCAAATTCTGCTCTCAAGATGCACAGCTGTAAAGCTGGAGCTATTCCATGGAGATGATCCAGATTTACATTGGTAAAACCAGGAATAGCATTTGGCCCCAGATCTCCAGACCTCCCAGATCCCTACTTTGTATTCTAGAAAGGAAAACAGACTACAAGAGAACCAGAGAACAGCCAGGACAGAATTTAGCAACATGTAACAAAATTCTTTGCTATGTTAGGTTTTCCACATGAAGTGCTTACAGTTCACCTTAACCTTAGTCTCAGCGAAATCCTTTAGAAATGAGCATGGGAAATGGACAGTAGCAATTTAAAATTTTCATTGTTAGAGTTCGAGTTTATGTGTAGGTATGCGCTGAGAGACAGTATGGTCCAGTGGATAATTTATTAGCCTAGGACTGGGAGACCTGGCTTGTATCACTTGGCTCTGCCCCTGATCCCTTGTGTGACCCTTGGTAAGTCATGAGACATCTGTGCCTCTGTTTCCCTTCCCGCCTTTTCTCTGCCTTCTCTGTTTAGACTGCAAGCCCTTTGATCCAGAGACCTGCTCTCTTGCTATGTGTATATACAGTGCCTAGCACAATGGACTTCTGATCATAGCTGGAGCCTCTGGGTGCTATTGTAATCCAAATAATACATAATGATATACTTCAGCTATAAATATGGAGCTTACCATAAACCCACCCTGGATTATATTACTGTTGCCTGATCGGAAACATCCAATTTCAGGGCTTACACCCCTAAATCAAGTGTGACAAAAGCAAAAGCTGTCTTTGGTTTCTGCAGCATCAGTGGTTGAATTAATTGCAGCAAGAGGAATAAGAGAAACAGCTGAGATGCAAATCTCAGGAGGAATACTAAAGAAATAAATATGTATTAAGTCATAGATTGAAATCCTGGCTCCACTGAAACCAGTGGCAAAATTCCCATTGCTTTCTATCAGAGAGGATTTCACCCGTATTTTTAATAGCAGATGGGACCACTGTGATGATGTAGACTGTGTTCTAGCATGACTACCTGCGTAATGCAGGTTATAGAACCTCACTTAGTAATTGTTGCATCAAGCCCATAATGTCTGTGTGAGCTATAGTTGAGCTATAGCATCTCTTTAGGAAAGACATCCATTCTTGAATTCACAGAATCATAGAATATCAGGGTTGGAAGGGACCTCAGGAGGTCATCTAGTCCAACCCCCTGCTGAAAGCAGGGCCAATCCCCAACTAAATCATCCCAGCCAGGGCTTTGTCAAGCCTGACCTTAAAAACTTCCAAGGAAGGAGATTCCACCACCTCCCTAGGTAACGCATTCCAGTGTTTCACCACCCTCCTAGTGAAAAAGTTTTTCCTCATATCCAACCTAACCCTCCCCCACTGCAACTTGAGACCATTACTCCTCGTTCTGTCCTCTTCCACCACTGAGAACAGTCTAGATCCATCCTCTTTGGAACCCCCTTTCAGGTAGTTGAAAGCAGCTATCAAATCCCCCCTCATTCTTCTCTTCCGCAGACTAAACAATCCAAGTTCCCTCAGCCTCTCCTCATAAGTCATGTGTTCCAGTCCCCTAATCATTTTGTTTGAATTAAAGACTTCAAGTGATGGAGAACCCACCATGCTTTAAATAAAGTCTAGAAAATATCTAGAAAAGTGGACTTCTGAAGCTGAGTTTTCAGAGAAGGATGCAAACATGAGGGCTGGTCAAAAACTTTCCATCTAAATAGTTTATTAAAAACCCAGTTTTCTGTCAAAGGTTTGTTTGTGAAAAGTTTCTGTTTTTCACACACAAAAATTGAATTCTCATTGAAAAATGAAACACCTCAGAGTAGAAAAGTTTGCAGTTTTTGGCTCAAAATTGAAAAGATTCTACTTGGAATTGTCCCCACAGTGCCTCACAGGAGTTGTATTTTGTGTTCCTCAGGATCCTATTTTCTTCTATGGCCTGGGTTACACAGCAAGACTACATTTCCCATGATATAGGGTGGCCAGAGACTCCCTTGATCCACTGCAGTGGCCCAGCAGGAAGGGGAGACCGTGGTGCATCATGGGAGTTGTAAGCTGGCCTGATATCCAATTCCATAGAGGAGAAATCAGGGCATGAGGCCTTCAAACTGCAACTCCCAGGAGGAACCACAGCAGCATTTTTTCAAATAAAAATGTTCAGTTTTTGGCCTAAATATTTGGGGGTTGGATTTTTTTTTTGCCAAAAAGTCAAAATTTTCATGGGGATGGGGGGAAGGGAAGGGGCAGAAATGGACATTATCAGACCAGTTGTAGTGAAGAGTGAACATGCAAAGATGCAAGTACCAACCAAAATATGTGTGCACACATATTACCTTCAAAATGTATGTGCAACTATCCTCTCTGCAAGTGTGCGCGCTACTGCAAATACAAGTCTACACATAATGGGCCTGCAAAAATCCCTGTGCACCCTGGGTGCCTGCAAATCCTATCATTTGCATGTGCTGTCAGACTACATCTCCCATGATGCACCTTGGGGTCCCCTCTTGCTGGGCCACCGCAGTGCATCATGGGAGTCCCTGGCCATGCTGCATTGTGGCAGATGTTCTTTTGCTGCAGTTCCCAGCCCACAGAGAAAAATGGGGACTTGTGGAAAACATGCAAATGTAGGATCTTGTTGGTGCAACCACTGAAACACAGTTTTACAGGCCTGCCCATAGCTTACTGCTTTGAAAATTGGGGTGCTTAACTTTGCATACAATTGCCTGTATATCCAAATTCATATACTTGGGGCCAAATTCATTTCTGGAGGATTGCGATCCCATCTTACAACACTGAAATCCACATTTTAAGCAAACATCAGAAATCTGAATCTCTAGTTATAGATACAGATCTAGATAGCTTACACTGACAATCAGTGGATAGTGTCAGGGAATCATGGACATGTTAGCCCTAATTCAGCAAAGCAGATAAATTTAAGTCATTTTGAAGTCAATGAGATTTAAGCACAAGCTTAAAACTAAGCACATGCTTTTGTGCTTTGCTGAATCTGGGCCTTTATCAGGAGGTGGCTTTAGAGTAACATCCTGTCTAACCCTCCTGAATATTTCAGAATTCCGGTCCCAAGAGCCGCTACTGAATAATAAGAACACTAGGGCTGAAAAATGTCTTGTAAAATGAAGCATTGTTCTGCTAACAAATTTTTCAGCATTAAACTGTAACACAGCCCCAGCCATGCTCTGCTGGCACTGGGAAACACCAGCCCTGGGTTTTACTGTTTATTTTCCTTTTAAAAAATAGTTGAACTTTGCATTTTTTCATTGTACTAAGAATTTGCTTGAGTTACAACCCTAGGTTGTTGATTTTTCCATTTAGTCAGGACATTCTTCTCCCTGCCACAGCATAACCAGGCAAACCTCTCCAAGTTATAGACCTTTTCCAGATTTACTGTCAGGTGCAGAGAAAAAATAAACCTGACTTTCATTTTGTAAAATCAGGACGGTATAGGTCAGATCCTCAGCTGATGTAAGCTAGCATAGTGCCTATGAATCCTCTGGAGCTACACTGCTTGACATCAGTTGAGGAACAAAAAGAAAAGGAGTACTTGTGGCACCTTAGAGACTAACCAATTTATTTGAGCATGAGCTTTCGTGAGCTACAGCTCACTTCATCAGATGCATACCGTGGAAACTGTAGCAGACTTTATATATACACAGAGAACTTCAATTTCCCCCAAAGTATGATACCAGCCCCCCAAAAAGAATTCTATAGTTTATCGCAACTGCTCTCAGTCTGCCCTTTGGTCCATCTTCCCAACCCCTCCCATGCTCATCCTCTGAACAAGTTCTTTAGTAAGGAATAAAATGCCAGGTTCGTCTTGAAAATAGATGCCGTTGTGCAGTGCGGAAGCCAGTTCCTCAGCTGGTGTAAACTGGCAAAATTCCATGGGGCCAGATTCTCTGGTCTGCTCTGCTCCCTTTCCAGTCTTCCCAGAGCTCTCCAGCTGGGAGTATACCTGGCATGGAGTCCTGAGCAGGCACAGAGCTGACAGATCAGATTCCTGTGCCTCCCTCCCTACAGCTGGCAAATGGATCCTACGAAGCCATTGCTATCTAACGCAGTTTAGAGCAACCCCAAGACAGCTCTAAACTGTTTGGGGGCCAGGACACAGAATCCAAAGGCCATAATCCTTATCCAGACAGCTCCCCCACTTCCCAGCCTAAAGTGAACATAGCAGATAATCTTGACCATATCTTCAGTGGAAGTGGGCCGAAATACAGCAACTGAGGAACTGGTCTTGTGTGATTTTTCCTTGATATTAATAACCTGATAGCTTTCTAATGTATTCATTCTTGCAGGGCCCAGTCCTGCAAGGTGACAAGCACCCTGACCTCTGGCTACCATCAATGGGAACTGAGGGTGCTAATCATCTCACAAGATCAGTCTATTACGATAGGCAAACCTCAAAGGACTAAAGGTTCTGCTGAGTGTGGAGAAGCAGCCAAAGTTTGGGCAAAGCTTCTCCAAAGTATATCCAAGCAAAACGGAGACTGCTAAATTAGCTGGAAACTTCGTGAGAACTGGCTTCCTCGCAAGGAATTTGGTGCTCTTTTTATTGAAAGGACTTGAGCATAATTGGACCCAAGATTTTCATATTTACGACTTCCAGCTGGGTCGTAAATACCACAAGAAGAGTTTTTTAAATGGAATTTGCACATTTCTACCACTGGTCCCATCCAGAATCAGGTACAAAAATGTAAACTATATGAGTGGTTTTGTATCTTGTGGGTCAAATCCTCAGGGTTCCTACTTTCAAGTCATTGAGGATCCGGTCCACTAGACTCAAGGCAACAAAGAATTGGGCCCTGT